TCCATCACACTCCTGACTTGTATCTTGTGAACGGTGGATGATGATAATAAATATCAAATCTGCAGCGCATTTCAAAACCAAATTATTTCCTTGGGTTTAAATTATAGTACAGCAGGATAATTGTTTCCAGTCGACTATTTGGGTATCTGTCTGTACAGTTCAGGAGAAAATTCTGGGAAATACCTTTTCCACAAATGATGATGAAAATCTGAAGTTCCCTTCTCCCTAAAAAGATCATATGTGCAAAGGGCCAACTGAAGTTTTCAAGCCCTGGATTGCTGGATGTTTTGGGGGATTGGGTAGAAATAACAAACGTTATGGAGGAAATCTGGGAAAATACAATTGAGTTGCAAATCCATAATTGTTAAATGAATAGCAGCGCAGGTCAATATTATCGACACAGGAACAGGAGGAGGCCATTCAGCCACTTGAACCTTTCCTCCTATTTAATTAGATGGAGTCATACAGCAAGGAAAGAGACCCTTCGGTCCAACTCATCCATGCTGACCAAGTTTCCCTAACCAAACGAGTCCCATTTGCCTACGTTTGGCTCATATCCCCCTAAACCTTTCCTATTCAGGTACCTGTCCAAATGTCTTTTAAATGTTCTAACCGTACCCACCTCTACCACTTTCTCTGGCAGTTCATTCCATATACAAACCACCCTCTGTGTCCCTTTTAAATCGTTCTCCTTTCACCTTAAAAATATACTTCCTAGTTTTGAACTCCCCCACCCTCATGATTTTATAAACCTCTATAAGGTCACCTCTCAACCTCCTATGCTCCAGCGAAAAAAGTCCCAGCCTATCCAGCCTCTCCTTATAACCCAAACCCTCCAATCCTGGTAACATCCTTGTAAATCTTTTCTGCACCTTCTCCAATTACATAATATCCTTCAAACAGCAGGGTGACCACAGCTGTACACAGCGCTCCAGAAGTGACCTCACCAACATCCTGTACAACCACAACATGATATCCCGACTCCTATACTCGGTCTTTAGTTAGATCTGTATACCAGGAACTGAAAGACCTGCTCTTGTCCTTAAGGTTCCTAACTTGTTCCTAAGTGATTATTTTATGAACTGAAAACAAACATTCCAATGAGAAGGCAGGATCAATGCTAGAATTGTCTACTGAAGGGCTACTCTCTGCACTGTGGGATCTTCAACAAACATTGGCAAGAATTAAAACATAAGCTGTGGGTGGATAAAGGCAGGAGACATGTTTCTGAGCAGCTGCTTTCATTGGCTAAAGACAGACAGCGAGAGAAGCGAAGGAAATTGCTGTTTAGAAATTAATTGGAACTGGACATTGGTGAGGCCACTTTTGGAATAATGCGTTCAAATCTGGTCTCCCTGCTATAGGAAAGATGTTACTAAAGTTGAGAGGGTGCAGTAAAGATTTACAAGGATGTTACCAGGGTTGGAGTGTTTGGGCTATAGGGAGAGGCTGAATAGGCTGGGGTTATTTTCCCTGGAGCGTCAGAGGCTGAGGGGTGACTTTATAGAGATTTATAAAATCATGAAGGGCATGGACAGGGTGAATAACCAAGGTCTTTTTCCTGGAGTAGGGAAGTCCAAAGTTGGAGGGCATAGATTTAAGGTGAGAGGGGAAGGATATAAGAGAGACCTAAGGGGCTACTTTTCCACACAGAGGGTGGTGCATGTGTGGAACAAGCTGCCAGAGGAAGTGGTGGAGGCTGGTACAATTACAACAATTAAAAGGTATCTGGATGGGTACATGACTCTGAAGAGTTTGGAGGGATATGGGCCAAATGCTGGCAAATGGGACCAGATTAATTTAGGATATCTGGTCGGCCTGGACAAGTTGGACCAAAGGGTCTGTTTCTGTGCTGTACAACTCTATGACTAAATGCACAGAGCTCACAGGTGGAGGATAATGTCTGAGATTGTGCAATTTTAGTCTGCAGGATCACTTCAATATTTCAAAAATGGAGCTCATCTGCTGGCTGTACAAAGCCTCCATTTCCTTCCTGGAGAGAACTGTTAGTAAGATGACAGAATTCCAGTTTGATGAAATGCCATACTGCATCCTTTGGGCATTTTCCTCACACTCAGTTTTGAAAAATTAAACCTCTACTGACCAAATGTGTGGTGAAATGTGGGAGTGCATCACAATCGATTCTTCAAAATATTACTTTCAGAACTTAGGAAAAAAGTGGAGGCCACTCGGCCCCTCTGATCTGTTTAGCCATTTATTGCCAGTACAGCTGTATCTCTGTTCCGTTCCTTGAGTTGTTTTAAGAGGATTTATTTTAAAACACAGATCTCTGATGTGGATTTGAGAGCCCTTAGTCTGCTCAATTCTGTCCTCATCCAATGGTGACTGTCAAATTCAAAAACTATGGTGTTGCCAAGGCCCAAGCCACATACATCTCCCTGATAACTGTGGATTTTGTTTCTTGACTGGCACACCAGGTGGCAGGCTTGTGCAGTAATGGAAGAGATTTTGCCCTGTCAAGGGCATCCTGGTCACCAACACCAGCTGACCTGGAGCTGTCCCTTTATCAGGCCTGACTTGTGAATAAATATTACCCTACTGCAGCTTTAAGGACGGTACTTTCAGAATTAAAACATTTAATGTTTAGAAATTTGTGAATTTCAGGTCGTGTCATGAGCTCAGTATGACTTTGCCTGTGGGTGAATGCAAAGTGATAGAAATTTTAGTCATAATTACACTTTCTGATGAAATAAAGGATGGTGTCCTGATGTATACTTGAAAGCAAACTTTAAAAGTCTCTACAGATGTGGTTAATTCTCAAAGTCATGAAAACTTCACACAACAGATCTGCATTAGTAAGAGTGAAGAGAACATTGTGTTTGAAGATGTCTAATTAAAGCAAACAGCGTTATTGTTTCACAAGGGAGAACTCTTAATACATATAGTTAGAAAACAGAAATGTAAGCGAAAAACATTTTGCATGTGTTAAAAACTCATGAGCTATGATCAGTTTTCTTTTAAAACCAGGTGCACCTGCATAACATACTAGACTACAATAATTTTGACAACCTCATTATAATTTGCCCATTTAAGATAAGTGGCAAAAAAAAATGACAGATGGGCAGCATAGTTTAGTTTTACACAGTGAGTGCACTGCAGCACCTGAAAGGATTGAATTTTGTTTCTACCACCTTAACTCCATAGGGAACTGAAAAGGGAAACTTTGCAGGGCTAAGGGGAGAGAACGGGAGCGGTCCTCGGAAGAGCTGACACAGGCACCAAGGGCTGTGTAGCCTCCCTCTGTGAGTTGGACCAAGTAACTTGTGTCAAGGCTGTGCCAAATTCTGCCTGATTTGATCCTGTAAAACAAGATTAATATTTCCGAGGATGTCACACTGTTAACCACCTCAATCTCAAAACAGAAATGATGCACAGGTATCTAATGCTGCTCGGAGTATAAGAGAATTTGAACAGGCATGAATTATTTCATAGAATCCCTACAGTATGGAAAGAGGCCATTCAGCCCATCGAGTCTGCACTGACCCTCCGAAGAGCATCCCACCCACATTCAACCCACCTCCCACATCTCTATAAACCCTGCATTTCCCATGGCTAATCCACCTAGTCTGCACATCCCTGAACTCTAAGGGACAATTTAGCACAGCCAATCCACCCAGCCTGCACATCTTTGGACTGTGGGAGGAAACCGGAACACCCGGAGGAAACCCACGCAGACACAGGGAGAATGTGCAAACTCCACACAGACAGTCGCCTGAGGGTGGGATTGAACCTGGGTCCCTGGTGCTGTGAGGCAGCAGTACTAACCACTGAGCCCCTGTACTGCCCTATTGTAACTGATATAAATCAAAAAAGTGTCGCTACATCTTTACAGTGATAATGGAGTTTCATGTAGTGAGCTCCACTCAGTCAACCTGAAGAGGCTGAGATTGGTTGCTCCCTCTATGAGCTGACCTCTCATGGCAGTGCTCACAGAGACTCTGGCCCCTTTAAGATATTTTGTAGACTCAGAAAGACCTCGCAGTTAACTGGAGGCTATCATCTGAGAATAGATAGACAGCAGCTTGCGAGTCCCTGCTACTTATCCTGGGAAATCAATGGATTCTCAAAAGCCCCAAAAACAAGCAGGAGTGGATAGATTTTGTCTATTTTATCTACGTACTTTCAGCATTTTGGCTCGTGATAGTGGTCGTGCAGTAAGACTTTACAGATACCCTACAGGATTTCAGGCCACTTGGATTAATTCTGGGCACTGGTTTAGTCCCATCTTTGGATAAAGGATGCTGTTTTTACTTCACAATGTTTTGCATGTGGGGAACGGATTGGGCGAGGACACAGAGGGAGTAAAACAAAGCCACCATCTTCACAAGGCATGGCATAAATAAAAGTTCCTCTGACTGGCCACGAGCAACCCCAGCTTCTTGGAAGCTATACAGATCCAACAATATTTCTTTAAAAAAAAAAGCCCTCAATGTTTGCCTTTGGGTTTGGATCACAGAATCCCTGTTGAGAATGAAACCATTCTGGCCATTGCATTGATGTTTTGAAAGACTTGTCCATTTTAGTCACACTCCCAAGAGATTGCCTCAGAGTCTGACAAACCCACTTCACATGGATAGCCACACATCTAGCTTCCAGGCACAAGCTCCCTGAAGAGCAACTTTGAGATTGATGAGAAGAGACCAGACAACATTGGCCACAAAGCAGCAGAGTATCAACCATGCTATTCCTTCCACTAGTACAGGAGAATTTAAATGTCGATATATTGGAGAAAGACCACGATGGATCTTGAAAGCAAGCATATAATCAATGGACAACATGCGGAACAAAATATCACATCTATTTTTAACCCAAAGTTCGAGCCAATCTTTGTAACTCACCCTCAACCAGTACATCAGGCATTTGCCTGAACTCTGATGGATCAATAACAACATGAAACAGTCCTCATTTCCTGTTTAGTTAGCATCAATGACAAAGGGAAAGACAGAATTAAAAGTCAGTCTATTTGTTTGGCTACCTACCTTGCATCTGCTTCACTATAGTACTCCCTGGCGACAATATCTTCAAAAAGTTCTCCGCCAGTGACCCTATAAATTAAAATCAAAATGCAGACATTGAAGGGTGAAGGCAGTAATCAGAGGAGCATGGTGATTATACCTGGCTGTGTGCATTGGAAAAGATCCTTCCCACACAGTTTCGATTGCCTCTGGAGTGTTCCGAAGCAATTATCTGGCTGGTTGCAGCAGTACTGTTAATCAAGCATTTGTAGCAAGGATCACCAAGTTCTCTGCTTATTCAACCCCAGTCACTCATAGCTGAGTGTCGTATGAGATGTATTTTCAGCAGCAATATTACTGATTACTCTCAAGGCCAAAGCAAAATAGAGTTTCAATCCTTAATCATGTCTCACATAACAATACAGACAATTGAAGTTTGACTTCACAAAAAAATTATTCCGCTGAACATTATATGGCCTCTATTATGAGGAATGAATCACAAACTCTAACTGTTCTTGCATTTACAAAGGCATGTTTCAAGATGAAAACTTACTATTCATTAGCATCCACATATATAAGAGTGTCTCACATCAATGTTTGTTACAGGAAACAATCATGGGCACAAAGTTGGCACAGTGACAGAAAGCAGAGTAGTGGCAAACATTGGTGGCAATATAGAATAAAGGGAATGAGTCTAAAAGTGATGCAGGAACAGACAGACCTGGGGATTTATGTCCATCAATCATCAAAGATGGCAGGGCAGCTAAAGAAACTGGCACACAGGAACCCAGGCTTTATAGATAGAGGCATAAATTACAAAGCAAGCAAGTTGTGATGAACATTATAAGACAATGTTTCATAGGAACATAGGAAGAGTAGGCCATTCAGCCCCTTGAGCTTCATAGAATCGTAGAATCCCTACAGTGTGGAAGCAAGCCCCTCGGCTCAACAAGTAGCTTCTTCCACCATTCAATAAGAATGTGGCTTAAGTCCTTATACTGGCCTTTGGCCCATATCCCTTAATACCTTTGCTTAACAAAAACATATTTGTCTCAGATTTAAAATGAGCAACCGATCCAGTACCCACTTCCATTTGTGGTAGAGAGTTCCAAACATCTACCACCCCTTGTGTGTAGAAGTGCTTCCTAACATCACTCCCAAGTAGTCTGGCTCTAATTTTTAAACTATGCCCCCTAGTTCCAGAACCATTGGTAATAGTTTATCGTTATCTACACTGCTTTACAATGTCCAATTCTGGGCAGCATATTTTAGGAAGAATGTCAAAGGAGTAGAGAGGGCCCTCCAAAGATTTTCAAGAATGGTTTCAGGGTTGAGGGACTGCAGCGAGTAGATAGATTAGACAGAACAGCTCCAACATCTCCAGAGAAGAGAAGGTGAAGACGAGATTCAATTGACAGAGTAGACAGGGACAATTTGGAGGGTCAGGAAACTGAACAGAAATTTGAAATGATTGGTGAAAAATCAAAGGTGACAAAGGGAAAATGTACTTTTTTTAAAAAATGCAGTAGTAGTTACAAAAGGGTGGTTAGCCAGATTCAATCCTGGCTTCCAAACAGAAATTTGTTTAGCATTTGAAGAAAAGGAAAACAGTGGGAAAAGGCTGGCGGGAATGGGACTTGCTAAATCATTGTTACTTCCATAAAGTAGGCATTCTATGCTTCTCTAAATGCCTGTTTTCTTACATGAGGCATGAATCAAAGCCAGCAATGAAGATATGGCCAGTCACCTTGGAATCAGATCACATCCAAGTCATTTTTGTCCAGACCCGAATATGGACCGAGGAATATTCTCATTGGTCTCTGGATTAGCAATGTATAAGACCTTGTTGTGAGCCACACCAATTAAAATAAGTACACAAATCACGTTTCACACCAAAATGTTGTTTCTGATGCACACCAGGACATGCCAAGAGATTGGAAGATGTGCTGCGTAAATGCAAGGTTTATTTTCTTCCTCATTTTTTCAACTCTTGTGATGGGAGTTATCTGTTTATTATGCAAGTTAAATTGTTTTGTCAGAATGGATTGAGGAACATCAGACACATTGGTGCACTTAATACGTGCCTGTTAATACTGTCAACAAGTTCTTAGCTTGCGAACTGATGAAAAACAGTTATATTTGTTAAGAAGAATGTGAAGGGAGGGAAATGCACTTTAAATAGATTCCTTTCTTCAACAGATTGACAACGGAGTTAGCAGAATGATTTATGAAATTTCAATTGCTGTTTCAATGACTATTTATGGTGAGTCTGGGAGAATTTGAGGCAGAAATTCCAACAGTCCCTTCGCGCTGGGAGGCTGACTCCTTTGATGCCACTGTTCTGTGTTTGTTCTCCTCCTCGGTTGCCTAGTGCACTTAAAAATAGTCTTTATTTATCTTGCATCTTAATCTTGTTTTTAATGGCCCTACCTTGAATCCCTAAGCAGTTCTCAAGAGGTTGTTAAGGGGGTAGTTGTGGTCATGTCGCGCAGGACCCAGTGTGAGAGGGCCATGGTACATTTCTCACACAACTGGGAGTACATACAAAGACCGGCAAAACCAAGCTCAATTTATGGCTTGCTTTCTTAAATAGTTCAGTCACTTGTTGTCGCAGACTTTTTAATGTGTTAAGTTTAATAGCCACAGAACAACACAAGGCTGTACAATTTGGCGATACAACTCTTAGTCAGAAAAAGGCAGAGAAAGTCGGGCAAACATTTTTCCAGCATGTTAAGCAGAACATTGTACATTAAATTAATTGCTTCCTACAAGTGCAAGCAATTTGTGGTCAGTTAAATTTATCAAAGATTTCAACCAGGTCCTGGCACTTTTGAAACACAATGCAAGATGACGTCTGTACGTTATAATTTCACTTTTAAGATTTAGACATAATTAGCAAGAAATTTGGTGTTTTTTCAAAAAAAAAGAACCTCTCCTCAAGTTTCTCCTCCTGCTCCAAAGGCAAGGGCCAGTTTTGGGAGGCAGTTACATGTACCTAGGTCAAGTGGCTTTCTGCTTATGTGAACCCTGCCAATGGACGAGAAGCGGCTGCTCAACTACAATGTGCATCAGCCACAACCCTCAGAGTTTTCACAGAAAAAAAAACATGCAGCTTGCATTAGGGGTTTGCAGATACTAATCAGATACCACAGCCTTGGCTGATTTTCCTTTCCCCGTTACAAGCTACTGATGACTGCACTCATGCAGCTGGGAGTGGGGTATAGCATAGACCAGATCTTCAGCCAGAGATATGTGTGATCTGCCAAACTGGGCAGCCAGCATATGGTGCATTAACCCAAAAACAGCAGGAGGGTCCCAAATCATGTCCTGTCCAAAAGCACGTTTGAGGAGGGCTCAGAATTCACAAAAGGCAGCAAGAAGTCCAAAACTTCATTGAGTGGGAGCATGCATCATTGGGACTGAGTTACAGCAGCAAGGTACATAACCTTTGTACTTCTCTGATCCATGTCCCCATTGGGCAAAGTTCTGGTTTCCTGCAAAGCCCCAAAAATTAGCCTTTTGTGGTTTCTAGAGAACTTGCTGCAGATTTTGAAACAAAGATAAGGCTGAGAAGGATGAATTGGCACTAAGTCTTCACATCCCCTAACTCTTATTGTTATAATACAGACCTTCATTGTGATGCATCCCCCGTATCTTTTGCTTTGGCAAACCCGATCTTGCCAGCTCTCAGTTGTTCTGCTCAGGAGGTGGTGTCCTTGGCTCAGTGAGCAGCATGCTAAGCTCGGAATTAGAACTGGGTTCAAGTCCCACTCTGGAAACTCAAGCATGAAATCTAGGCACTGCACTGTCAGAGGCACGGAGTTTCAGACAAGATGACGGTAGTGATTGTAACGAAGTCAGCCAGGCAGACTTCATAGAAAATAAATTCCCTGTTTGGGGGTGTTAACCTGGTCCAATCAGGGAGCCCTGGCTGACAGATAAGAACAGCAGTGTCAGACATCCTGTTCACTCCGAGAGCTATGATGTGAAGGTGCCGCAAAATCACAAGCACCTGACGAAGGAGCTGCGCTCCGAAAGCTTGTGATTTTAAATAAACCTGTTGGACGATAACCTGGTGTCATGTGACTTCTGACTCGGAGACCTGGCTCTGATGGAGCTGGATCAGTGTCAGCTATACTCCATGTGCAAATAAAGGGTGACTTGGCGATGGGAGACTGGCCTCTGTGGAGTTATTTCAATGACAAAATGCAGGTTCTATTAGCCGCCCAGACAGATGTGAAAGACCACAGGGAGGAGGACAGAGGTGATTCTCACCAGGTCCTCCTGTTTCACATTTATCCCTCAACCAAGGCCTAAATAAAAAAGAAAGAGGGTTATGTGACCATTAACAGGTATGTGGGAGCCTGTGGGCACACACATTGTGTTTTTTACATTTCAACAGCGATAACACTTTAAAGGTATTTCATTGACGGTAACGCATGGACATCCCAAGAGCAGGCAAAAGAGTGTTTCCTTCCCAGTTTGAGCTACATGGAACAGGAATGGTCATGACTCCAGGACACAGGCCAGGCCCTGTATTGCACACAGCATCAGTTTACAGGAATGAACAAATTCTCAATGGTGGGGAAGCCACTCAGACATGTCTGCAGAATTTCTAAGTGGTGAGAATTGGGAGCTTAACAGAACAAACTGGCTTTAGAAATAATAGTTCGGTCTTAGAGCGCAGAAGGGAGCCATTCAGTCCTCATGCCTGGTCAGCTTTCATAAAGAACGATCCAATCAGTGGAGAGAAATCAGTGTTAATCTTTCAGGTCCAGTGACCCTTCCTCAGAACATGATCGGAGCAAGGGTCACTGGACTTGAAACGTTAACTCTCAATTCTCTCTACAGACGCTGCCAGACGTGCTGAGCTTTGCCAGCAATTTCTGTTTTCGTTTCTGATTTCCAGCATCTGCAGTTCTTTCGATTTTCACCCCATCAGTCCTCCTCTCTCAGCTGTACCCTCACAGCCATTCAAAATTTCCCCCTTCAATCGTTTTTAACCAACGGCTTTGGAAGTCACTTGTTTCCATCAGTTTCTCAAGTCCCAGTCCCATTCGGAACTCACTGTCCAGAAAAAAAACGCTCTT